CCGCGGTGATTATGTTTATCTCTTCTATTAATTATGAAACACTTCAAATTTCCACAGATTAAAAATTTCTCCTTTTTGAGCGATTTCCAAATATCAGTTTCGTGAAATCCTTGCGGAGACCTACTCATCCCGCTCCCCTTGGTCTCCACAAGGCTCCATATTTCGAAACTGGAGAACTAAGCCATGTCTCCACAAGGATACAAATTTCGGAATGAGTGAACTTCTTTGGCACAAAATTTAAAGAACCGCATTATCTGCGCTTTGACGAACTGCAACTAAGCACTGTGTGCTCACATTCAGTGCATTTTTGCTTTCACGAAATGAAACCTTCCCGAATTTCCCAAGTTAAGAGGTTTCCAAATATACCTTTTCTTAACCTAACAAGTAAGTGTATGGGCCAAATTAATGCAAAACTTAAAACCCCTTTAAGCATTTTGCTTGGGTATGTACAACCGCTACATACTTGTGTGTAAGTAGGTGAAAACAATGCCAGTGTCAGGCCACGCAAACACACACGGGTGTCAGTCTGTAAAACCAAAATTGACTTTTAGGCAGTTTTTACGAAGTGTGCAAAAACGTACTTGTGCACGGTGATATTCGTGCTGCAAATTGGCAAAAGTTAGACATATTTCATCTCAAGCAAATTTCGCTTTAAATGTTTTGTGGCATCGAATTACCTTTGTTTTCACTTTGGTAAGGTATGGAATGGTGTTCGGTAGGGGGGGTATGGACACAGGGATTTCGTGAACGCTCACGTTAACATTTTGGACAGATGGGATTTTAGTTGATGGTTCAGATTTTCTTTTCGGGAGAGTTGTCAGGAAGTGCGATATTCTGTCAGGAAGTGTGATAACAAACGTGACAAATGCTGTTGGAAGGACTCGCAAAGGAAATTCTACGCTTTAGAAATGACCACTGCTTGGTTTGCTATCCATTTACAGAAAGTTGGGGAAACGTACACTCCGTCCATAAAAAGAACAACAGGAAACATGGAGGACATAACGGAATTTCCGCAGTTTCCACCCATTGCCATTGTAGGGATAGGTAAGCATGGACAACCACTTATTGAAAAACAGGTCAAGGCAACAAACTGTCCGGTCTGTTTTTCAAAATTATGATCTTTTTGTTTTTAAATGATAGAAAGTTCATTTACGCTAGTTGCCAAGACTGTGAGATCCTCAGATATGTGTTGTTCGATGAATGTTTTTGAAGATTAATTTGGAATGTTTAAAAAAATTAATATTTAGACTACTCTCATATTCATGTACATACGTACCGGTACGGAACGCCAAAGTTAACTGAAATATCTGTCCAAATCTAGTTTACATTTTGCCCTACTACTTTGATAGAGGATCATATTTCCATTTGTTTAGCAGTAGTGTGTAGTATGAAGTTTCTTGACAGTTGCGATAGATACCTAGCTAATCAAGTATTTACTTCTGATGGTCAGCCATAGTTTACCAGGCAAAGGTAGGTAAAAAAAACCCTAAAAGTATCTTTTATGTGCATGCATCACAGGGTGTCGCATGCCTGGAGATGTACGTTCTCCGGAAGACTTCTGGGCTGTCATTCGGGATGGAAAAGACACCATAACAGAGGTTCCTCCGCACAGGTGGTCACTGGAAAACTTCTACGATCCTGACCACTCCAAAAAAGGTAAGATGATCTCTCGAAAGGGCGGCTTCATCGATGGCATCGACAAGTTTGATAACTCGTTCTTCAGGATATCTCCCAGAGAGGCTGCGTCTATGGACCCGCAGCAGCGCATTCTCTTGGAGGTTGTGCACGAGGCATTTGAGGACGCTGGCATAATATCGGAAACATTAGGGGCCTCGGGTGGCGTGTATGTAGGTGTAGGAATGATGGACTATGCGGTTCAGACAGTTTCAGAGACCTCACTCATCAATCCCTATACATTAACGGGGACCTCATTTAGCACAGCAGCCAATCGAGTTTCGTACGCCTTTGACTTGCGAGGACCCAGCTATTCCGTCGACACTGCCTGCGCTTCATCTGTGACGGCAATGCACCTTGCTTGCACTGGTCTGTGGAACCACGAGTGCAAAACGGCGGTCGTTGCCGGTTGCAACGCACTCATTATCCCCGAAACGTCTGTGGCTTTCACGGCATTGGGCGCGCTTTCCAAAGATAGTAAGTGCTGTCCCTTCTCCAGTACAGCTAAGGGTTATGTGCGCAGTGAAGGTTGGGGTGCAGTCATCCTGAAACCGCTGCCCATCGCACAAAAAGATGGCGATCACATCTATGCACTTATCAGGGGAACAGCCATAGCAGCTAATGGCTTTTCTACTAGTTTGACTATGCCTTCAAGTGCTGCACAGGAATATGTTATGAAACAAGCCTATTTCAGATTCGGTGTCCCGTTGTCAAATGTTCAGTACGTAGAAGCTCACGGGACAGGGACACCTGTTGGGGATCCCATCGAAGCAGAAGCCATTGGAAAGGCCTTTGGTCCACACCGAGAGAAACCACTGAAGATTGGCTCTGCTAAAGGAAACTTTGGCCACAATGAGTGTGCGTCTGGTGTTACTACTTTAATCAAAGTAGCCCTAATGCTAGACCACAAAGTGCTTTGCCCGACAATCAACTTCACCGAGACAAACCCAAACATCAAGTTGGACGAATGGAAGCTTCAAATTCAAACAGAGTTACAAGAGCTACCATCATCTGAAAAGACGTTAACGTTTGGTTTGAACAGTGCTGGCTTTGGGGGAGCAGTAGGCCACATCATCCTTCAAGAGGCCCCTCGTGGCATCATACAGGCCCCCGCCGCAGTATCTGCTGGCTGGAGATTTGGAGGTGGCACCTCGGGTTCACCCATAGTCGTACCCCTTTCAGCAATATCCACTGAAGCATTGCATGATGTTGCTGAGCAGTGGCGAGGTTTCAGAAGTGAGCATGATGCACTCCGAATTGTTTCTTGGTTAACATGTCGTAGAAAACACTATGAATGCCGCCTGGCAGTCATCAGCAACTCTGGCGAGGCCTTCCAGGAACAACTAGAGCAGTACCTTGAAGTACGGAGTGGCAGTGAGATTTCAGCAGGTGTTTCCAGAGAGAAGCCCAAGATCTGTTTTGTTTTTCCTGGACAGGGCCAGCAGTGGGGCAAAATGGGGCAGCGATTGTTCCTCAGGGAGACAGTTTTCCGCGAAGCTATTTTGGAATGTGATGAAGTATTCAAGAATTTGAGCGGTTGGTCGTTGCTTTATGACAAAAACATTTTCACCAATGGATCAAAAGACCAAGAGGACCAAACAGCTAATTTAGACAGCGAGATGAAAGAAACAGCAGTTTTACAACCTTCCATTCTGTTTTTCCAGATTGGGTTGCTGCATCTCCTGCGATACTGGGGGATCCTGCCTGACGTCATAGTCGGTCACAGCCTTGGTGAGGTGGCTGCAGCCTATGCATGTGGCGGTCTCACCCTTCAAGAGGCCGTTCATGTTATATACCACCGAAGTTTCCAACAGGCACAGCTGAAAGGAGCCGGAAGCATGGCAGCGCTTCGCTTGCCTCTGGCTGAAGCCAAAGATGTTTGCCAGCAGTATGACAACTTGTATGTAGCTGCTGTCAATGCCCCAGCAGCAACAACAATTGCTGGAGACACCGATGCCATATCAGAAATAGCCCGAAAAAAACCAACCGTGGCCAAACAACTGAGAGTTCAATGTGCCTTCCATACTCCATTTATGGATTCAATGGAGGCGCCATTCCGATTGGCCATGAAAGGGTCTGTCAACACAGAACCAGGAGCTGGTTCCATTCCCTTCTATTCCACTGTGATAGGAGAGGTATACACCGGTGCATTTGGTACCAACTACTGGTGGCAAAACATCAGAGGCACGGTTAAGTTCCAGGCCGCTGTAGAAGAAGTCCTGAATAACAAAGACGTCAATGTATTCCTCGAAATCGGGGCCTCTGCTACTCTCCTCTCTTCCGTGAATCAGATTTATGCTCGTTTCAAAGGCAGAACGAGCCCCAAACTCATCCCTACAGGTCAGCGAGAGCAAGATGACTACCTCACAGCACTGCGGGCTTTATCAAACCTGTACGTTGCTGGATGTGACATCAATTGGAGAAACGTCACAGGAGGACCCACCACTTGGGCCCAATTGCCAACATACCCATGGCAGCATCAGTCCTTCTGGCTGGAAACTGATGAAAGACGGAAGCGCAGACTTGGTCAAGATGACAGGACTTTCAAAGGACAAGCCGGAAATATTTCTCTTGAAATGTTTCCATTTCTTGCTGATCATGTTGTGCAAGATCAGCTTGTTTTTCCCGGAGCAGGATATGTCGAGATGATGGTGCAGTCCGTCTTTGACGAGGATGAATGTCCTGCTTTGTCCAAAGTGTCATTCAGCAAGATCATTGCTTGGACAGAGTCGGAAGACGGGAACACCAAGCCACTGGGTCTTCAGTGTCACAGAGAAGGTTCACATGTTGAAGTAACTTTGGATGGGTCAAGCTATTCCTCAGCTAAAATTAACATATCTTCGGAACCAGAGTTGAGTCTAATCTCAATTGAAGAGATCCTCTTGAGGTGCACGACTCGCGTCAGTGGTGAAGACATCTATCACGCATTAGCAGACCTTGGTTTAGATTATGGCCCCTCCTTTCAGGTTATCAAAGAGGCTGCTCTAGGAGATGGGGAAGTATTGGGATTCCTTTCACCCGTGAAATCTGATAGCAAACAGCGAATGCAAGTGACACATTTAGACGCCTGCTTTCAGCTGTTGCTTGTAGCGTCTGGGAGTAACACAAGTCTATATCTTCCTGTTTTCATTCAATCCCTACACATGAGTGTCCCACGACTGTCAGCCACAGAATCTCTTGTTGCCTACGTCCGGATGACTGAATTTGATTCTAGAGTACTTGCTGGGGATATAACCATTTCCACGTGTCAAGGAAGAGTGCTACTGAAAGCTTACAACTGTGAGTGCCGCAACATCACTGGTTCCAAGACGGGTGTTCCTTTAGAATCTTGCTTGTACATTACACGCATGCAACCTTTGCAGTCCTGTTTTCCAAACCCCTCAACTGCTTGTGAGAAGTTTGAACTTGACTACCTCAGGAAAAATTTTCCGGATGAAACTGAGTTCCTCACAAGAGCGCAGCCTTGGATTCCATCTCTGGAGAGGGTCTGCATCTCATGCATTTATCAGGCTTTAAATGGCACCGCCGCAAACAAACACGTTGACCAACGACTTGGCCGTTATCTCAAGCAGACGACAGAAACGTCCAGAACAAACTGTCCTAGTGAAGTGGCAGTCACAAATATTGCGTCTGTTTTAGACAACATTGAAGCCAATCTGCCAGAAATACAGCCAGAGATTGCTCTTCTACGAAGTCTTGCAAACATAGCAAAAAGCGTGAACATAACAATTTCGTCGAACCGCAGATCTTCCATAACTCGACGGTCTTCCCTGAGAGAGACGAGCCCAGGTGTGATAGATTCAGCCCTGAGTCGCCTCTGCTACAGAGCTAGTGCAGATGCCATTCACAGCGCGGTCAAGGAAGCTATTCATAAGAAGAATGTTGTGCGGATACTTGAAGTTGGGGGGCAACACGGAGGCCTTGCCACATATGCACTGCCTCTCTTAAATGAGTTTTGTGACGAGATGCGACTGGAATACATATGCAGTTACCTGGCTTTCCATTCGGGAGCTTATCCTCACCATGACCAACCCCTCAGTTTTCCCTTCGTCAAGTATAAGCAACTTGATCTTCAGCAGGACGTAGTGTCGCAAGGGTTCGTGCCAGGATCTGTGGATGTCATAATCTGTATGGAGAAAATCCAACTGTCAGGAGAATATGACAGCAGCTTAAGAAATATGCACAAGCTGCTTTGTGATGGAGGCTGGCTTTTTATGTGCGAGATGACTAGCGACAGTTGCATCGGCTCTGTCTTATTTGATCGTCAAGAAGGTTATTTTCTGACTGAGGGAGAATGGAGGAATACTCTCAGTGCAAGTGGCTTCCAGGACATCGTGGTCGCATCACCGCCACAAGAATGCTTCCACAGTATCTTTGTCAGCCGTAAAGTCAAAGACAATAGAATAACTTTTATCACTCATCCAGCATCCTGCCCAATCTTCCTGATTTTAACTGATCATGATACAACTGACGTCTCGACATTTCCCAATGTAGTTTGTGGCAAACTGGGTGTTCCGGCTGACAAAGTGGTACTCAAAGGAAATGATCTAAACAGTGCCCTGTCCCAAAACTCAAGGACACAGAGAAACAGCCTGGTTTGCCTCTACAACTCACAACATGGCCTTTACGAACTGACAAAGTTACTTCAACAGGTTGACTCTAAGACACTGATGTTCAGAAATGTGTTTGTGGTTATCACGGGAACAAAAACAAGAGCAGCTGAAGTGGTGGGTCTCGTTCGATCAGTGACAAATGAAATTCACGTCCCTGTTTACTCTGTCTACATGGGAGACACTGAAGATGCCAGCATAGAATCATTGGCTGGGTTTTTGAATGACAAGGAGGTCAGAGATAGAGAAATCGAGATCAGTGAGGGAGAAATCAGAGTGCCAAGAATACTAAGAGCTGAGCTCTCCGCTGATAATGATGTGGTAAATGAGTGCCACTGGCAGGTTGCAATCAATAAAGATGACACGTCCCAAGGTGGCACATCATCTTTTGAAGATCTTGGATTTCAATTTTTGGATGACTTGGATCCTCTTCCTGGTCAAGTCGTTGTACATGTGAAATCTGCAGCACTCAATTTCAAGGATGTAATGCTATCGCTGGGACTTTTGGATGGTTTGGATGATAATGATGACACAATTCATATTGGCCTTGAGTGCTCGGGAAAAATTCAGAAAATTGGTGACGGGGTAAATTCCTTCAGGGTAGGAGATGAAGTTATGGGCTTTGGAAAACACTGTTTTGCTTCACAAACCATTTGCGACGAGAAGCTGTTAGTTCACAAACCATCAAGCATTGGGTGGAACGAGGCTGCTGGCGTTTGTGTCGTGTTTACCACGGCCTATCACAGTCTCATCCAGAGAGCCCATCTCCAGAAAGGAGAAACGGTCCTCATCCATTCAGCTTGTGGTGGTGTTGGCTTAGCAGCCATTCAGATCGCCAGTATGATAGGAGCTCATATCATCTGCACTGCAGGAAGTGAGGAGAAACGATCTTACCTTAGAAACAACCTTGGGATCGAACTGGTGACGGATTCTCACTCAGAAAGATTTTATGATGACGTCATGGTCTGGACAAAAGGGGCTGGTGTTGATGTAGTTCTGAATTCACTGCATGGTGAAAAACTGTCCAGAGGCATTGAGGCTCTTGCTCCCGGCGGAAGGTTTTGCGAGATTGGGAAGAGGGACATTCTTCAAAATTCAAACCTCCAAATGAGTCTGCTGCTTGAGAACAAATCGTTCTTGTCATGCCAGATCGACAGGATGATCAAACTTCAGAAAGCCAAAATGCACGAACTCCTCCTCGAAGTAACGTCGCTGTTTAGAGAAGACAGTGTTCTTGCTTCAATACCAACGACGGTGTATCCCATTGGCGACTACCAGGGGACTTTTGCCAGGATGGCAAAAGGAAATCACATAGGTAAGATGGTCTTCAATATCCCTGCTGATTTCAAACCTCCTCGGATCCTGTCTTGCTCTCGTATCTTTGACAATAATGCTACTTACATTATCACCGGTGGCTATGGTGGTTTGGGATTGGCTCTTGCGAAATGGATCTGTGATAGAGGTGCATGCTATTTGGCTCTTGTGTCTCGTCGCGGCTGTAAGACGGATGCGGCTCATCGAACAGTGAGGTTCCTGGAGAGGAAAGGAACAACTGTCTTTGGTTTTGCACTAGATGTGTCCAAAGCAAGCGATGTTCAGTCCATGCTGAGTGACTTAGCAACCGTCCACGGTGCCCCAGTGGTGAAAGGTGTGTTCCATGTTGCTGGGCACATTGTGGAGGAATCGTTGTCTACCCTCACACCCGAGGTGTTGAATAAGATCTTAGGAGCCAAGGCAACTGGAGCAAAGAATCTACATGACCTTACTCGACATCTTCCTCTTGAAGTGTTCTTCCTGATGTCATCGAGTAGTGCTATGTGGGGACACTCCTCACAACCTGGCTACTGTGCCGCCAATGCCTACCTGGATGCGCTAGCAGAGGAGAGACGTGACCAAGGACTTCCTGCGGTCAGCCTCCAGCTCGGACCAGTGAGGGGTGTAGGATTTCTGGAGAAGATGAAAGTCACCATAGAAACTCTGGCAATAAAGGGATGCCTAACACTCCACATTGATGAGATCCTACATGTCATTGGTCAAATTCTTCAGACAAAGGATGCTCCTGCTGTGCTAAGTCTCTCTAACCAGGTATGTTTGCTTAGGCAGACTATATTTATTATTATTAAAAATATCATGAAATGTTTCCAAATTTCTATCATTATATAATTATTTCTGATTTTACTGTTGGCATCATCGAAAAAAATATTTTTTTGAACAATTGAACTGTTTTGATTTCATGGTCTTAACCAATAAGAAAAATGAGGAAATAACTGTGCTAAAAGTAGTAACTCGTACCCTTTCTCACATTCATCATTTGAAGGAATGGAACAGCACCCTCAAATTTTGTCATGATGGCATCTTGAAATTTCAACATCTCCTCCGAGCAGTAAGGCCGAGGCGTTCAGTCTGTGCTAGTTCAACTCAGCGGAAAGTTCTAGAAGACCGAATGAGGAAGAAGATGGCCCACCTCCTGTGCATCAATCCCGACAGTATCGATTTGGAGCAGTCTATGGTGACCTATGGCATGGATTCCTTGATGGCTGTGGAGATGGTAGCATGGGCTTCAAAAGAATTCAACACATCCATTACCCAAGTGGAAATTCTTGGAGGTTTAACAACAGGTGCACTCCTCCAACGACTGCTGTTAAGCCAGACTGTGTAAAAGTGAGATAGAATCACGGGTCAAGTAATTGGTCATTGCATTTATGATATCACCCATCACCCCACTTGTTTCTCTAAAGTCATTGGTATTGAAAACTTTACTCATCTATTATGAAATAAGCATAATCCTTTTAAAATATAGCCAAGTGTAATTCGTTTAATTGATAACATTAACAGTTGATGGGATTTAGTGATATTGATACTCATGTCCATTAAAAAAATCCCTCTTCCCACTAAAATGGAATTAGGCCTATCTGTCTGGCATTTTACACTGAATGAAAGCACATGATTGTATAACTTGAAGCAGGTGACGATTTCAAAATGGAAAAAAAATCTTCATAAAAAGAAACTTGGAAGTGTCAGGCAACATGACACTTACATACTAAACATATGCATGCGTAACATTTTCCTGTACTCACAAGCTTTGAAAGTAACATGCTCTAAGAATGACTGAGAGAACTTGAGATTGATACAGGCCTAAACATGATATAGAAATAGGCAACATTTATGTGCAGTATTTCTCCCAAACACTACTGGCGCTTTGAAGACATACATTGTTTAAAAGAAGGGTCATCATTTCATATAGGCCTGACGTTAATCAAGTGGCCTTTGTCACGTCAGGTCTTAGTTAGTATATATGGACCCAAGGCCCTGTCTAAATTAATTTGCATTAAGCCTAGTAGACGTAAGCCGGATAAAATCTGAAGCTGCTGTTAAGTAGAAGCTAAACAAATATAAATCAGAAAACGTACTTGTACAAATTAACGCTTAATCCTGAGTGTCCATAATGACCAATCAGGCACAATCAGGCTGATCTACAGTCCTAATCTACTACGTGACGTTTGTCATCACGTAAACCCTTCATGCTTGTATTTAATCCTTACCATTTTAACCAGTTTCAGCGACTAGATCAATAATTAACTTGGCTGACTCACCCAGCCAAAAACCTGCTCAGTTCCCGGGTACACGACTTCCACTTCCAACTAGATTTAGCGATACAAAAACATGTAATAACATGCGTAAATTTCCCCAAAGATGATATCCCGCAATTGGTGGTTGCTAGCTTATAATGGCTGCATTCTAGCAAGCCTCGTTCAATTTTAATTAATGTGTCTATTCGAAACAAAAAAAGTAAAGCAAAAGGTACAAAAAGTAAAAATTGAATGTGTAAATCTAAAACATAATATTTAGTCTGTATCGTCCTCTTGTCGATTTCACTTGTAAACAAGAAGAATATTCATGTCTTAACACTTTCAACCTATCACGTTCTCGGGCCCGGCTCGTAAATAAAACTTGCACCATAACACAGATATAAAGTTAGTTTGATATTGGACATTCTACAGGTTTGTACAGCAAATGTTCCATGTTTTAGAAATTAGACATTTACATATGTTTTACCGTGAATTGCCATTCAGACATTCCCTGTACAAACCAGTGGGTATGTCCAATGTCCAATATCAAACTAACTTCACCGTAACAGTGTGGAAAGTGTGGGTGTGTGGCTTGGGGGAGGCTTGCTGAAGGTTTATTGCATCTGTAGAATTAATTTGCATGTACGAGTGCGTAAATTTTATAAACTCGCAAAAGCTTTGGGAAACAAACTGAAATTTCTGTAAATGAACACAGATGCCTTTAGATATGGTAAAATATTTCTGAGCTTAAAATAAAGTGTTACTTCATCAAAAAGTGGAGTTTCATTGACACATTTATTTGATAAAATTAACAAAACATGTTTCACTACATTATCACTGTATACTGCAATTTGTAGCCACTGTGTCAACTTAAAATCTCTACATTTCTACATACAAATACAGTATAAATTATATTTACAGTATGATTTCTGCGGGTTTCAAACAGGTTGGAAAACTGGGCTTTTATATTAATTCTGAATATTAAGAAGCTGGGACAGTAAAGATAATAAAGTAATGCTTCCACATGTTCAAAATGTATTTCATCCTCTCAAAATTATAATTAATTTAGAACAAAGTAAGATGTTTAACCATTTTCACTGATTGTATGATATACAGAGATAGGCATAACCTTCCCAAACCTTCTCAAATTCCTTTAACCCTGTACAGGAGAGTACCGGCACATGGCTGTTCATATGAAACTCATCCAGATAAAACGCTGAATTAATAAGCCACAATAAGATTGATGAAAGTATTAGTTACAGATGGCCAAAATGCAAAAAGATTCGTCATAACAAATTTTCGAAATAGATTTTAAGAACTTTAATACACTCTTTATAACATTGCGTATACACCTTATAGTCGTAGCCATTTTTAGATAATCTTATCAATAAATAGAGAATAATAAATAGAAAAGCACTGTCTATGGTGAATATTGCACTAAGAAAAAAGTACTAGAAATCTCCTTTGTAGAACGCGCTATATTTTTATGCAAATATTATATCCACCGTTTTATAAGTGTTATGCTAGTAAAAAATTGAGGGAAGTGACTATTATGTATTTTTATTGCTGCCAAATGGCTCCCAAAGGTTGGGGAACAAATCATACATTGTCTCTTTAGATGGTTTTACGGTTACGAAGTGCTCGACTTTTTTTCACAACAAGGAGCCTAAAAAATAGGAAATCCTAAAATTAATACCATATCTCAAAAACTTTTAAGAGCCCAGAGCCTACACGATTTCAGCAGGGGAACTTAATTTTATAGACACAGTGCCTATATGTTACGTATGATTCTAATTTTGCAACAAAACATTACCTGTCTTTAGCAGGTAAGTTAATATTTGACAGTTATATATTCTGTGGCATATATCCACAGATCCTCATGACTGATTTTCAGGACCACAAGCAAAAGTAGCCAAGAGTCCTTTGATTTGGAAGTCAGTCAGGAATTTGAACTTTTGTAAAAGGGGGCAACGTCAGAAGGTTTTTGCTGAGGGCTACCACAATGAGGACGAACAAAAATCCCGAGTGCAGGTGGAATTTGAACTAGAAATGGAAAAAAAAATCAAAAACAAACAAAAAACCTTCATTTATGCTAAGTTTACACAGGCTTTGGGATTGTTGAAACATACAAAAATAGCCGAAAATTAAACTCAAACCAAATCTCATATTTCCCAAGAAATAAATTAACATTGCTTGCTTGTTTTAAATAGGGCAGGACCAATGGAAACAACTATTTCAAGAATGATGATAAATATTAGAACTAGTAGGTAGCATTTAAAATGGCTTTAAAGTGGATCTGATAAGAATAAGCACTGCTCATTAACACATACAAGTAAAACAGAGAAGTATTTACACTTTTATATACATGTTCCCCAATAAAAAGCTTGCAATTAAGTTGGCAGGATTACACAGAGACTGTTTGAACTTCTTTCAGGTTCGACAAAATAACTTAAAGGTAACATTTTACCCTAACCTTATGAACTCTTAAATCTAAGCTTTTAAATAATTCAGTCTGTGGTGGGTGAATTTTAAAAACAGTACAATACGGTAGAAAAGCTGATATAATAAAGGACCATGCATTGAGGAAAACACAAAGCATCTTTGTCGTCTGTTTCAGGAAAAACTTCACAAAAAAGGAGCAGACAAGTTGACATGTTAAGGATTTCTGTTTGGGTGCCTTTTTGGGGGTGAAAAGAAAGAACCAACAGGTAGTTATTGAGTACTTCTCTGAGCTTGTCCATAAGTCAGGCAGGAAAAAAGTCCAGACCTAAATTTGCCCAATGCTTGCATTTGGCCGAATACTTTGATCGTCAAGCTGGTCATTACTTTTGTAATTCAGTGTGTTTGGTGATTGAATACAATTGAATAAACAGCATTAATAGCATAAACAACATGTAAATGCAAAATCCACATTCAGGACTTGTAGTTGGCACTTTACTGGCCCCTTACGGGAGTCACTTTTCTCATTTCAACATTTCTTTTTTTTACCCAAGGTCAAAATCTCCAGTCATATTTCATCACCATTCAATTTTCAAAAATGATAAAAGGCTTAAATACTTTGAGTGTCAGAATTATATTTCAGATATAGCACACAAGTACAATATTATCTCTATAAGCTAAACACTGATAGAATATTTGTAATATACCTATAGTATAATGTACAAAAGAGTAGCCATGGTGACTAAATCAAAGTATTGAAAACCGTATCGCCCATCTTGTTCTTAAGAACAATGTAAAATTAAAACCTTTTGGAGAATTTTTTAAAAATTTGTCCCAACACTAACATTTTACAGTTTCCACTGTTTACCAAATCAATCAAAAGATTGAATCTTACTCTAGGTTTGCCTCCAAAGACTTTATTTACATTCTTCAACTGTCCTTATTTTACTGAAAGGAATTTACCTTAAATTGATTGATTACCTGTTTAACAATGATTTTCCAAGTCAGTCGATTATGTAGAAAATTCTCTTAACTCCGACAGAAAATAATGCCTTTGTAGTATCAATCACAACTTTCATCTTAGAAACTAAATGGAGAAAAAAATTCCTAAGGCCCAAACATAGATGTCACTGAATCTGAAATAAAGAACTACTGACCATTTACAATCCAAATCCTGTAAGTACAAACAAAATGTCAGCACTTCCTACTAAAGACCAAATTAATATGATCTCATCCTTAAAATACTTCATCAACGGGCAACAGTTGTATCATCGAAATGAATATAATCCCTTGCAATTGCAACAAGGGTGTTAGAAATGTCAATTTGTCACCTAGGTAAAGCTGGTATCACAGAAGGTGAGGGCGTGACCATCTTTGCAAAATACAGCAACAGACCTTATTCATGGGGAAGCCATTTTATAATCATGTTCCCTGAATTTATATTATTTAACTTAATCCGTAGTATTGGGTGGTGCCAGACTATTTTGGGTTTCAGGCTTCATTTTCATTTTTTTAAAATGTGGCTTAAAACAGTTCGATATATTTAACCACATATTTAAATTTATCCATCAACGTGTACTGCCATCAAGTTGAAATGAACATTTATGTCACTGCTTTCATTTTTCTTGTCAGGTTCCTAAAATAAAGTTCACCTTGTTTTCAATTCAATATAGCTGCCTTGTGAATAAGGCCAACTATCAGATGCATAAACTGTAATGAAGTGATCAGGCCAAATGCTCACTACAGGTCACTTGTTTTAGCAGACGCAAACGGACTATTTGTAACAGCACAAGTCATGCAAATGAGTTCCCAAACAGTATGTTAAAAGTACGATTCAAGTGCATTTTCTTCAGAATTTGCAAAGATGATCCTATCTGTGAAACAGCCCAAACTGTGTCTTCCACAAAGATACGTACTGCATTACACTGGTCTGTTTGTGTAGTGGAAAAGTCTGTCACACACAACAACCTTTGATTAAACTGTCTCAACTTTGAATGCTCTAAACTGTCGTGGGTTCACCGTCTAAATCCTCATCAATTTCCAGCTCTCGCTTCTTCCGTCTGGAGCCAGGTCTCGACCCCTGCTGTGACCCCAGCGGGGAGGAGGCTGACTTCCGACGACCGGCCCCCAGAAATCCGGTCAGCAAGTCGATGGGGAGTGGGAAGATAATGGTGGAGTTCTTCTCGGCCGAGATGGTGTTCAAGGTCTGGAGATACCTCAGTTGGAGAGCAGAAGGGGATTCGGCCAGGACATCAGCTGCTTCCTTGAGGGCCCGAGATGCATTCTGTTCCCCCTCAGCAGCCACAACCTGTCACAGATACAGACAAACAGACAGAAATTACAGGTTAAATCTTCCGGCTTCTATAAGAGCCAATTTCATAGAGTGCAAAACAAAACAAGATTATTTGGCTAACATTTACTCAAAGGAAAGCCAAGCTGAGCCAACTAGTAATGCATGTCTCAAAACATTCTGTCTGACGACCGATTTTTAGGCCAGGCAAATTTTTGTGCTTATTCATGAATTTGTTCAGTTGCTCGTGTCTTGGACAAACAATTTTTTTTAGAGTAGTAATCTGCCCAGAGCTGAATTGCCCCCAATCAGCAAAAGAAAGACAGGTGGTTACAAGCAGGTTCTTGCACGTGTTCTGCGTGTAGGCAAAGACCATACATGCCAGAATGAATTAGTTACGCGAACTTGGCGCGCTCCGCATCAAACGTGCATATACTAGCGTGCCTCATAGCGCACCAAAAAACATGCCCTCTTTTGTTCCACTGGGAGCAGATAATCTGGTCACAAACAGATTGTTCGCAATTCGTAAACCCACCTTTGCTCTGGCCTCTCTCGCAGCCTCTGCCTCTGCTGCCATTGCTCTCTGTAGCTGAACTGGCAAGCGAACATCCTTACTGTAAGTGGAAAAAAAACATGAGACCAGTAACGATGACTTTATGTAATTACTCTTTTACAAAAGACTTTGATCCAACTTTCAAGGCACTTTTGCCACAGTAGTAACCTTCATTATCCAGCGTACTGATCACAGAGAGTAAGAGGCTTGTAGAGGCAGTAACTCCTGTCAACTTTCCTGGAGGATCAATCTTTCAGGGTCCAAAAATGTGTCATTGGGTTACTGCATGGTGTTTGATTCTGGATGAGGGAGCTACTGGTAGACCATTGGAGTTGATGTGAAGGGGCAGAGTTCTTTTTTGGGGGGGAGGAAACAGTCTGTCAATAAAGGACAAAACCATCGGCAGAAGTGGGGTAAATTCCGTATTTTCAAGCAACTTGGTGATAATCCTCTTTTTTCCTTTCTTTTTCATTTTTTCAAAAATTTCTTTTCTTTTCCTTTTTGTATTTCATTTTTTTTTCATTATTTGGACTTTTCCATTTTGGGGGAGAGGGAGGAACTCTCATCACCTAAAAAATGATAAACAATTAACAACAAAGAGGGGAACATTTTTAGTTTTTTCCCCAAGCAAATTGGTAATCTTTGTCCCCGTTTAACTTTTAAAATTTTGTTTGTTTTTTTTTTTTCTTTTAAAATTTTGTCTGGTGTGGATGGGGGGGGGAGAAACACCCGTTGTCCCCTTCCCCCACGATGCTCATGAGTAAACTACAGACTTGTGAAATGCTCAGACTTCACAAACCCGAACTAAAAACTACACAGTTCCTGACTGTCTGCATTCCCATTCCATGTCCCGTCATTCAGCAAGCAGAAAAACCACTTCAACTCATACGTCATCTCCTCACCCACTTGTCTAATTCCTCTTAAATGCTCAACTCACATCTCAACTCGTTCCACCTTGACCCCCCAAGGGTCTGTAGCTTCATCCAGGACGGACTGCATCTGGCTGCTGATGATGTCTCGATCGATCAACATCTCTCCCAGTGTCTTAGTCCCCAGGACGTTCCTTAGCGTTGTAGCGGCTAGCAGCCTAGTGGATCGTTGTGCGTCTTCCACATTGGTGATAGAGATTGTGGGATTGTAAACTCTATAGTAGACAACCGCATCCACGGCAACGGTTACACTGTCTTTGGACAGAATCTGAGAGTGGAAAACAGAACGTGAAATTTCTTCTTTACCCAGGTACAAAAATTATGGTAGGTTTAGAATTATTTTTAACAAATATCCACAATCATGTTAAAAGTACCGGTAAATTTTGAATTTTTCATCCACTGTGCCAAGTCATATTGCCAGTCAATAACCACATACCTTAGCCTCTTCGAGATTATGACGATTTCGTTTTCCCATTAGTACAACGAAGAATGAAAAGAGTTTCAGCTTCTTTCATCACCAAAAAAAGCCATGCAGACAAAAATCTTATTTTCCAACTACAATGTACATGTACTACCAAGAAACAGTGGCTCTAATATCTGTGCACTTAGTTCTTGACAGAGAGCACTGGAGAGCATTATTCTTAAATCCACTTTGAAATATTCATTATAAGGAAGAATGACAGCAGAGGATTATACAGTGCAACACTAAACAGCTGACAAACCATGTAAAACATTAACTATCATCCTATGCCATAGTGCCAGTCAACAATGTTATATTTACCTCTTGAGGGGGAACATCAAATGATATTGTTCTCAAGTCCACTTTGACATAGTTATCAATACAGGGAAGTATGAAGAATATACCAGGTCCTTTGGCACCACCCGGCAACAGACGACCCATGCGGAATATAACAGCTCGCTCATACTCGGCAACAACCTTGAGGACAAAATAAATCAACTTTCAAATTTAACTTGCAAATTAAACATGAAATGGAAAGAAAGAAAAGAAAAAAACAAACTTTGCCATTCTGACTCTGCAAGCTTTGAATTGTGATGATGCCTGTCCTGGTAAACACGGATCATGGGTTGGATTCCCAGCAAAGCAAGCTTATGAATTTTCCCACAAATTTTCAGAAGTACTGAGAAATAAAAACCAAGTTCAACTAAGCAAGTTCTATTAAAGTTAACTTCAATACAGGAACCTTTTTAACTCTAGATTTGAATTCAGTATTTGTGTTGTACAACAGACATAAATGTAATGATGCTTAAGTAAAAAAAAATAATGATAAACCTTTTAGATTTTTATTTGTTCCCACCAAAACTGTTCCAATTTGATTGCCAAAGTGTTGATGAATTTATGCATTTAAAAAACTCTAAAAATTTCTACAATTTAGGCCAATTGCCTCACCATCTCCCCCCCATGGCATTAATCAGGTTTGTATGGGTGAAAAAACAGATAGCACTCGTTGTTGAATTACTGTTTACATGTATTCCACTACTCAAGGAAAACAGGGATTTCAGCTGGCTAGACAGACACCAGTATGGCATGGTTACTGCAACTTAAAGGACAAATAAATTCCATGACTTTTCCAAAACCAAGTTATGGAAATCCATGACCCAATAATGCAATTTCTTGGACTATCTGGACTTTTCAAGTTGTGAATAAAATCACACATTTTATGCACTTATATCTGGTAATAGAAACCACACACTGTGGTTTAAAAATGACTTTTCCATGTCTCTAGTCATTTCTACAAAATTCCATGACTTTTCCAGGCCTGGAAAACGAAAACACATTTCCGTGACTTTTTCATGAGTTTTCCAGGCCGTGGGAACCCTGTATGGAGTGGAGTCAAGATTCTTGTCATGCCAGTGCTCCAACCAGACAAACATGACAGGTGCATCAGTCTGAGGTCAGCTATGGGAGAACAACAAGGGACAATAGTCACTATTAGGGAGGGACCGTTGTCAAGTTAATTAAGTTGGCTGCGGTAAAATACCCGGGTGTGCACGATAGTCACGACTCAGCATCATAGATTGATCGGCGACAACTTTGAAAAATTACATGTACATGTATTGGTAGGTAACACATCGCATGCAGACAAACCTGCTCAAGTGTGGAATATTTTGCTGTGGACAGAAAATTTCTAGTCATAAATGAAATACAATGTATTTTCTGGGAGGGAAAACATGCTAGTGGCTAAGTGCCAGACAGTAATTTGTGTGTATTTTTTTTAATCATTATGATTCTGTAGTTGAGATATGTTGTTATGTGCATTATATTTGTCCTTTGTGAAAAGAGTAAAGGTTATTCATGGGTTGTAGAAGCCTAGTCCTAACTGTGTTTCTGAACTCATCCAAAGATTGGGGCTTGTTTCAGCGATGCAAATAAGTTTAGTAGATATTACTCTCTGGATATATGACTGATGTGTTTGCAAAGCGAAAATAACTATTAAATGTTAATACTTCAAATAAGAATAACAGTGCAAAGATTTTTTTGGTGGGAGGGGTTGGGTTGGTAGGGGTAGTGAACAAAGCATAGTGAAGCTAGACTGTGACTGTGATTTGTTTAGTCTCAAGTTGAGACGGGGCACTGGTCATTTCAAACTAGACATGTCATCAGGGCTCTCTGGTTCATTTTGCCTCATTACCCATCCCACAATCCTGCTGTGATTTGACCGCATCCAAAATCCCGATGGGATGGCGATATCTGCAGACATACAATCCAATAAACCAAACGCTTAACCACCGGGTCGTGAAATTGGCTGCAGTCTGCAAGGGCCGGGTCTCCACAACTTGGCCGACAGGCAGAATACAATCAGCATGGTTTGTTAGCGTCAGGACTGCCATTTTGTATTCATCCGAGAGTGCAGCACGGGCCGAGGGATTTTGCCCTTTAACCCCAGGGGGGGAGGGAGTAGGTGTCTGAAGAACCAAAGCACTGGCATTTTGTATCATGTAGTTTCATCGCGTCACACAGTACTGTCAATGTATAAATTTGGATCGATATCTGAACCACGCCAAGAGTGCATGTCTCTGACGTCAAATGGCTGAACGTAAACCAGTGTTTATCTGCAGCGTGTACGATAACAAACTGAAAGTACACTACAAATTTTCTTTTAAACAGCAGCTATGGTTTGGTACTCTTCCAAATCACATTTTCTAAATACCACGAGCATGTCTACTTCAGGAACATCTTCTGATTGACTGACTGCATTACCCTCCCCCAAACGATTTATCAATGGAAAATGAGCTTAGAATTTGGGGACTCTTTTATATTGTTTGATGCACATGTATAATAAACACTGATGACTGCGATATATCCATTTGTGACTATAAATACAAAAGTACAAGACTTTTATTTTCGACACGACCATATTTACTTTACAAAGCCAGATTGGACATTTCTCTCTCTTTGCGCAGTTAAAGGAAACTCGGTGAAAATACTCAATATTCTCGAACTGTGAACACAATTTCAGCTGGATTTCTTTCCTTAACTGTTTTTCCTTTTACCATGGATAACCCGAACTCCAAGATGCCTCTACAACTCTTTTTCAGAGAAAGGGAAGTGTCTTATGGACGTGGGTAAGTCCACAGAACGTCTTCCACTCCTGCATCATTTGAACATATTTTGCTCACGAGTACACACTACTGGTAGGTATGTAAGGTTAGTGCATTAACAGTTTCACACATGAGTGATATCAAAGATCACATTACAGAATTATGTACGAGTATGGAATAAGATCTTGATAAGAAGCACGACTCACATACTGATGTCCAATTTATGCAAATAGATTGACGACTATACAACAACTGCATTTCAGTGTAACTGACTTGTTAGCACGAGTATACGTGTGGTGCAGAATGCTTGAATCACAGAGTAAAGGCAGGTTCATAATACAGGTGAATTTGATAGAAGGGAAACATTTTTTCCCTTTGACTGATGTGATCCGAGAGTAATGTGCATGCAACATTTAACTGCACCCCTGAACGAGGGTAACATGTATAAATAATGCAAAGTACCTCTCTACAGCTTTCTTCAGGCTAATGAGCAGGATACTTCAGAGGAATCCTTGGTTTCAATATCAGAAATACTTAATAATAATGATTGTAATAATGACATATTTCATCTGGAAGATTCCTTGGTTAGGTCGTACCTTCAGACAGAAGAATAGTGACACAGGGAGTGTGAAGAGAACAATAAAGTAGGAAAAGAACATCAGCAAATAGACGCAGATTCCAAGCCCATTATCTCCTGCATGGCAAATGAGAAAAAGAGAAGAGGAAGATTTGTATTAAGAATTCACACTGATAAATTGACCATCTTGGGGATGATTTAGCCACAAGAATGTTCAATCTTCAGAACCTGAGTCTGTAACAAAATTAAAACGGGGAGACACATAAGAGTTTTAAAAACACGTCTAAGGAACACGTTTTCTCTGATTTTATCTCTTCAAATAAATATGGAAGCATCCAAATCGAATGCAGTATAATTTGTCTTCAGAGATCAACTATAACAAGCTAAAAGTTTTTTTTCTGTTTATGCCAAGATGCAAATTCTAAACGTACATTGCATCAATGACGAGAAAACAGAGAAACTGAGGGGAACCCTCACCCTGTGTTTGTAGTGGATAATCCCTCGTTCATGCCGAACAATGCATGTAACCATTGTTTAGCTTGTTATAGTTGATCTCTGAAAACAAATGACACTGTATTTGATTTGAATGCTTCTATATTTCTTGAACAGATAAAGTCAGAGAAGAAATGTTCTCCTTAGAGGTGCTCTTTAAATCTACTTTCAATGTGAAGAGCACATTTTTATGAAGCCCTCTCTACAATTAAAAAAACCTGATGATTAAGAGACAAAAGGAACCAATTTTTACTGAAGACACAAGTCAATGCATGTAGAGAAAATGAAAAAAAAAAAACCTTCATTATTCCTCATCCTCAGGATTTTAACAGACACCTGCCTTAACCCTAACAGTCCTCAATCCTTCACCTGTTGGGGGACTGAGGACTGTTAGGGTTAAATACCCCCAAACTTGAAAGGTGATGTGTGAAGCTGCCTGAAACAACCAGCTTTTAAAAACATGGTTATTTATTCTTCCTCTTGATGGACAAAATGCAACAGAATGTCCCCACTGATGGAGTTGCCACTTTGCAAAAATCTTACCTGGTGACAAATAATAGAATACACTGTGTCAGACGTGTCAGGGTGTCATAATAAAAACCAACTTGTGACAATTCACTCTAGCACAATCCTGTGTAGATATGATAACACTAGACAGCAGGTGTGTCAGAGCTAGTGTCCTAGCTCTCTGCTTAAAGCAATCTTCCTCTTCTCAACTTTTCATGCACAAGCACTGGTTTCCATCTTCTTAAGAAGTTATGCCACGACACAAATTGACTCTCCAACCAATCAATTATAACCCACTTGATCCTCAAGAGATTCACGGTTCAACGTTAGTTGCAAATATATGCACCCAAGTCACTCTTAACCCTCTTGTGAAAAGGCGCTCTGCGTCACCATTAATTAAACCATCATTTGATCAAGCTGGCGCAGGACGTGAGTTATTTTTTCAATCAAGCGGCAGACTTTTTCCTCAGGCAGACTCTACGATGATTTTTGTTTTGTCTTTCATGAGCGATAACGCTCGGCTGTAATTATACAGACTAGCTGAACAGCAGCTGCATCTGCACCAAACCGGTTGATTTCAAAACAAATTGAACAGGATATGTATTTCATCCGTATATAATGCAAAAGGCAATTCTTCCAAGTGGACCGCCATCAAGAATTCAACCTGCACCCTGTGGAATATTAATCACCATAAGAGTCACATTGAAAGAGAATATGAGAGTATAGTTTCCACTCAATATTTAGAAGACAACAATTTCATCTCAAGTTTTTCCTGTATCCATACAGAACATGAGCAAAGTTAATGAAGTTAATTTTTTTCCGGGGGTTGTTTTCATTCTAAGAGATGTTTTTCCAAAACAAAAACTTGTGGCTTCAAATTATAAAGCATATAAGTATTCTATCCATTTCAACATTACACATGGTCAAAGGAACAGAAAATCCTCTAGGAAATCCCCCAATATCAAGCTCAACTAGATAAACCAATTACGCCAAAAATTACTGTTTCCCATTCACAAATAAATTGCTCTTAGATCATGCAAAGTTTGTTACGATCATTTCAAAGAAGACCTGGCTATATTGATGTATTTGAGAGCACAGACATACAGAACCAAAACATCATTCAAGATTTCTAGCTCCTCTTCATCATGAAATGTGAAAATTACAATTGGAAACATTACTAAGGCTGCATCCAAATCTCTTGTCTAGAGCTAGGTCTAGGTCTTCACTCCATTAGAAATGCGTGGAGACGCGTAGACAATAGACCTAGCCGTAGCTCTGGAAGCCCGTTTTGGACACGGCCAAAGATTCTTGTTAAATGAGGAAATTGCAGAAAGTGCATCCACATTAGGTCACAAGAGAGCACATTTGAGTCTTTCAGAAATTCAGTTCTAACCTCCTCACCAACAGTGAAAATAACAGCACCATAACAAAGTGCTTTTTCAAAGTAAGGAGATTATGACAAAAGAAACAGTCTATGATGCCTATTAGTTGAACAATGGAGCTGAATCAATCTGCAATTTTCAAATAAAATTTCATCACAGATTGCAAGCATCACAACAGAAAAGAACAAAGGGTCTCTCGATGCAGGAAGATGCAGTAAACATAACAGTCCACAAAGTATCATCCCTGACAACGCATCCTCCCCGGCAACTGAGACTTACCCATCTCATCTTCTTCCTCCTCCATGGTTGGCGAAATGCCATTGCTCCCAATTTGCCTATTCTCCTCCATCATGCTTCTGCGACCACATCTAAATACTTGTAGCAGGCACACGAGACGCTAACCCAGTGACTAGCGCCAGTGTTCATGTATGCATGCACGCTGCATCGTCATGGTTATTGGATTTTAACATGCAATGAACGGATGTACGTGACAGCATCTACCTCTCTTGGGTAGGCACGGTTTGTGCAAAGCCCTGGACCGAGCCCACTGATCTGCATAACACACCCCTGTTAGGGCATTCCTATTTGCCAGTTGATGAACCAAACCTTAAAGTATTGAACCGGTATGAATAATTCATAAATGCTCACCTAAGAAATCAAGGGACAACTACTCACTAATAAAGCACTGTCCTTCAAATGAATGAATCAATCTATACAACCAAGTACTTCCTATGTGGCTGATCAAATTGAAAAAATGTAGGCATACATGTATATATGCACGTTACACTGAGTCACACTTTGCACTTTGTTCGCACAGGTCCTATGGTATCTCTAATACATTCAATCTGGGTTGACAACGGGCAATGCGGGTGCATCTTCAGGAAAATGAAAAACTTACTCGTCTTCTAATTTTTTTCTGGAGGTGCAGAAGAAACTCTTTTACACAGTCAATGAAATGAAAAAAGCAAGCCAAGCCATCTACCGTTACAAATTCACAAATTAATTCACAGCTGAAGTGTAAGTTCTTATAATCCACATTTTTGTCCGACTTTGGACAACATGAGGGCAGAGTGAGGGAGTCAATCTACATGTAAATTCCCTGAAACAAATCTGCTTGCAGGTGCGATCATACAGATTCACAGTTGTAGAGTGAATTATAGTTTGCAGCGTCAGAAAATCTGTTACAGTGTACAATATACCTTGGGTCCCTTCAGAGCAGTCAAATTCAAGGATTATCCTCACTTCAACTGAGTCACAATTACAATCATGGGCTTCCATGGGATGGTACTTGATAACGATCATCTTCATTCATGGTCAAAGGTTTCTGGAATTGCTCCTTTCGGATTGAAATTCGTAAGTGTCATTTACTAAGAATTACCGCAAGAAAAAACAGTTAATTATGCATTGAGGTCTTCAGCCCGATGCATACATGCAGTTCATGAAAAAAAAAAGCCTTTCAGTTCATCACAAGGCTAAGTAAGGGTGCTTTATAATTCTGTTTCAGCCAGTGATAACAATGCTTGAATAAATGAAACAATGCAATGGGTAAGAGGTGTGCATGACTTGGAATCTAAATCATGTCACATCCACACAGACAGACTGTGTCACCAACTGACAAGGCCTTTCACCAGTAAAAATGTGAAGTCTTCTTATCAGGTGAGGGCATCCACTTGAGGGTGTGATTCTCGGAGAAATTCAGACAAACATTTGGACCACTACCTCAATTCCTAGTACTTCCTTATGCCAATGTTCACGTTGGCTGATCACTCCTGCAGTACAAACATTTGTCAGTGTGGGGGCAGATTGTGGAATTTTTCGGGGGAGAGGGGAGGGAAAGGTTAAGCTCCTCACGTTGTTTGTGATTGACTGATCTGGACAGGCTGAAAATAGGCAATGCATAAAACATGACATTGTTAATAACCCCCACAATACACAATTTTTTCTTTGTTATAACAATGTCATTTCATATAAAAAATTTTTTTATTGGTGTCGGGGGATGTTGACCCCTCTTTCAACCCCTGAAGTCAATGATGGAAACTTGAACTTTGTTCCCTATGTGTCATTTTCACATAAGGCTGACCAACAGTACTACGGGCTGGTATGTGGAACCTTACAGTGCCATCAAACAGTTGCGCGTAGAGCAATTAAAACTGACAATCCTCTCAAAAAATGTATCCACAAAACTAAATGCAGGTAAGGATTTCCAAGGTTCTATATCCCTGTGACTTCATTCCTTCTCATGAAGGAAATGTCAGGAAATGTGCTGTTAGTTCTCAAGCAACCCTGGTGATGTGTGGACCACATAAGGCTGTGCCGAATATCCGAATATTTGATTGACTGTCGAATATTCGAATACTATTTATCAAATTTGAATATTTAAATGCAAAATTCATGAAAAGGAGGGGAAATGTTTCTTTTGTTTTAAATGAGAAAAATTGCACTATGGAGGCTTGTTTTAAGCAGATTCGAATGAAAAGCGTCAGGAATCTTACAACAGTTTAAAAAATGCATTAAACAATTTAAAAGGAATAGAAATTTTCAACAGGGCAAGAGGTCTTGTTCATCACTTCAATTTTGCTAAATCGTGGCTGGAGACACTCCTAGATGTGAGAAGCTATTATATTGATCATAATATACAATTGTGTATGTTATTGCAACTGATTTTGGTCATGGTTTGTTTATCAACAATCTGCCAGTCGGTGCAACCGAATATTCAGATATTAGATCAAAATGAAG